TCTCAAGGTTGAGTTAGCCAGGAGAGAGGGGAGAAAGACTTTCTGAATAGAAAGACAAACTGAAATCGGGTCAGTAAAACATCATGCAAAGCATGTGGTAGCCTGAGGACTGAAGGGTGAGTCAAGGCCAATTCTAAAGAGATACTGTTTAAAAACTGGACACAGTAGTTCACTCTGCAATACCAGGAAGGTCACCACGAGTTTGAGACCAGCCTGGTTTACTTAAGCTAAAAGGGCTCCATAGTGGGGGTAACTTCAAACATTTGTATCCAAAGTTAACAGACTGCCAAAATAATGTTTTCTTAAAAAAACATTTGTATCCAAAGTTAACAGAGTGCCAAAATAATGTTTTCTTAAAAAAGAAGTTGCTTTTAAATTTAAGAATACCTAAACAGAGGCCAGGTATTGTACACACGCCTTTGATTCTAGTACTCAGGAGTCAGGGGCATGCATTTCATCTGTAAAATCAAAGCCAGCCAGGGTTGAGACTCTGCCTTAAAAAGGAAAAAATAAAATCCAAACGGAGTTGGCAAGATGGCATATATATGGGGCTGGAGAAATGGCTCTGAGGTTAACAGCACTGGCTGTTCTTCCAGAGGTCCCAATTCCCAGCAACCACATGGTGGCTCACAACCATCTACAATTAGACCTAATGCCCAGTTCTGGTGTGCAGGCACAACACTGTATACACAGTAAATAAATAATAAAATAAATAATAAATAACAGAAATAAATAAAACAGAACCAATTCCTGAAAGTTTTCCTCTGACCTCTAGGAGCACTATACACACACACACACACACACACACACACACACACACACACACACACACACAAGGTCTAGAGATAACAGCTTAGTTGTGTGCCTACCTAATATGCAGGAAACCCCAGCAAACTATAAACTAGACATGGTGTACATACCTGTAATCTCAGCACTCAGACAGTAATGGCAGGAAGAGGGTATTTAAGGTTTTCCTTGTTCACATAGGAGTTTAGGACCAGCTGGTGATGGGTGACACTGTCTCAAAACAAAGAGCCTGTAAGATGGCTCAGAAGGGTAAGAGTGCTTACTGCCAAGCTTGACACTTGAGTCTGACACCTGGCACTCCCCTGGTGAAGGGGAGAATTGACTCTCCCTCATTGTCCTATGATCTCCACACACATGCCCCACACAATACACAAATGTTTAAAGAAACCAAACAAGGGACTGGAGAGATGGCTCAGAGGTTAAGAGCACTGACTGCCCTTCCAGGGGTCCTGAGTTCAATTCCCAGAAACCTCATGATGACTCACAACCATCTACAATTCAATCTGGTGCCCTCTTCCAGCATGTAGGCAGAAAACACTGTATATGTAATAAATAAATTGTAAAAAAAAGATTGTTGTTTAAAGAAAAAGAAACCAAACAAAAGCTAAAATAGCCCAACAAAATTTGAAATGTGACAGGCTATTGGATGGTCACTTAGTGATAAAGAAAACCACTATAAAGTGGTTACTAGATGCTAGAGGCTGGAGTATCAAGGGAAAATCATGTTTTACCAAATATCTGGAAAAAAGATTGAGTGTTTTATCAAAAAGATATGTTTCAAACTAGATGTGGTAATATATGCTTTTTTTTTTTTCAAGACAGGGTTTCTCTGTGGCTTTGGAGGCTATCCTGCTAGCCTTGTAGACCAGGTTGGTCTCGAACTCACAAACATCCGCCTGCCTCTGCCTCCTGAGTGCTACCAGCACCAGGCGGTGGTATATGCTTTTAATACCAGCACTTGGAAGAGGAGGCAGAGGCATGTGAGCTCAAAACTATCCTAGTTTTGAGACAGAGAGACCTTGTCTCAAAAAGATGTTTCAGATAATTAATAATCTTTTTTTTCCACTCAAGGAAAAAGTGTGCTTGAAAAACCAAAAGAGAAAAAAATGTATTTGATGCCTATGGAGTAGCTATATGTTGGAAGGAAAAGACAGATACTACTGTTGTCTAGCAAGCATTACAAGATTCTAACTTATACACACCTTTCTTTCTCTAGGTGGCCCCTTGCCCCTTGTATTTTTTTAGAATTAACTTTTAATTATTTTTGTGTGTATAGGTGTTTTCCCTGCATGTATTTCTGTGTACAGGCCAAAATACCTGGGGTGGGAGTTACCATGTGGATGCTGGGAATTCAACCTGGAACCTCTAGAAGAGCAGTCAGTGCTCTTAACCTCTGATCCATCTCTTCAGCTCCAGGTCTCTCCTGTGCTCACAGTAGGCCGATACTTTCTGGATTCAGTTGATGGACAATGTTCATATTCTAAGTTGACCATGTACAAATGTGTTACAACATCACATTCTACCCTATGAAAACAAGGGAAAATTCCCTATTGTGGTTCATTATAAATACTGAGTTGAGCTGAAGCATAAATCAAAAATGTGTAGCCAAAATTAACACTGAGTAAATAAATTATAATAAAGTGGATATTTTAGACATAGACCTATAAAGGAATGAATATGTACAAAAACAAATGTGTACAATGTGTGGAATATAGTAATGAGTAAAATATTAATATGCAAAATGTTTTAAAAGCTACTGTGACTGTTATGTCAGTGAACTTTCATGAGTTGTAATTTTTAAAGTAAACAAAGGAAGAGAAACATAACTCCTTAAATTTTACACATATTATTTTTATTCCAAAGAATAAATGCTGAACAAACTCTCCAAATCACAAAATTTGGAAGAAGCCCCCTGGTCTTCTCATGGACTGAGGTAGGCATCTGCACAGCCGCGGGGCTCGGAAGCAGTCTGCTGTCCTCTACAACACTGAGGTTGGGAGGCTGAACCCTACTCTAGTGAGCTGTTAAGCTAAGTTTCCCTTTTCATTCCCCAGAGAGCTGCTCAAATTGTTGTCTGTTCCTGGGCTTGCACCATCTCTTTTGTGACAGTTACTGTTTTTGTTTTTAAATTAAATTGTTGCTTTACATGACCTCTGAGTACAGAAGTATTACTGTGACGTTTAAAAACACTGATTGACTGTACTTGTCTGAATATTTTCTCAAATAGATTTTGCATTTATCATTGATGATCAGTAAAGATGAGGGAATAGGAGGTGTAAGACTCTGAGATATCAGTATGTTCCCTTTGTAGTAAGACTTCAATCACACAGTGGTTCTGTACGTTACAAACTTTTGTACAATACACCTCTTCCCAGGTATTAGTAGTAAGCCCAAATATTACAGAACTGACATCTGGAACACGTAAAATCATTTCAGAAAATCACAGTCTGTAGACAACATTGAATTTTTAAAAGGTGGAAATTTCTTCCAGTCTGGTAACAAGCTCCTACTACTCAACAGCTTTCCATGCTAGTGATGAGTGGCCATGTTTTTCTATGGTGTGTGCCACTCTTACTTGACTTAGAAGTATACACTCAAGATTGATGAAGCCTTTGATGAATCTTCCTTCTAGAGCTTCCTGCTCAGAAGCACCAAAACTGTTCCAGTGAAGGAATAATGTATTATGAAAACCTGATTTCCAAAGAATTCCAGTTTCTCTCCTGCTTCTCCTCAGACTAGCTTTCATGTCTACCTAAATTACACTAGTTCCATTATGTTAGGAAATAAAACAATTTTCCATCCATAGGATGAAGGTTTCATCTCTGAAACAGGAAGCTGACAACACCCTACCTTCCTTAGAAAATTCCCTAAGGATAAGAGGAAAATTATGAGAAGTTGCACTGATCATGTTATCCAAGTGCTCTTTTTTGGTATTTTGTGTTTAATGGGAGACAATAGTTCTGTTAAGTCTAAATTAGGAAACATAAACTGACATTTCATTCAGAATATCATTATTTGGCAGCTATTCTTATTAATTTGGGAATGTGACAGATTTTAGCTTTATGCCCTGTCTCTAAATACACATGCTAATGCTGAATAAGACATCAATGGTAATTTAATTTCAGATGACAAAGGATCCCTGGGCATAACCGCACACTCCTGTCCAGCTGCTCACTAGTAAGCAGCTGGTGTGAAGACTCATGCTATGGTACTCAGACAGAGAACCACAGTCCTTATATTCTTGTGTCGGGACCATCAAAAAGCAAGTGAAATTCACTATATGGTGATCTCATATACATTTCCTCATTCTGTCCAAAGCATGATGAATCTGAACCAAATACTGCCACCTGCAAGATAGTACTTGCATTTTCAGGGCAACAGACAACTAATCAAATGTCTTCATTTTGCTGCAAGAATTAACTTTTGTAAACTGTGACTCTGTAAAATCTAAACACTGTTCTTCCCAAAGGCCCCAACTAAGACCAACAGAAGTGAAGATCCTGTTTCTTCAAAAACGTGTCAAACTATGTGTTTTCAATATTACTTAGGCTCCTAAAACAAGAACAAAAAAATTTCCCTTTACAAGCTGTTTTTTTGTTTGTTTGTTTGTTTCTTTGTTTTTGGTTTTATGAGACAGGGTTTCTCTGTATTGTTTTGGAGGCTGTCAGTCCTCAAAAAAATTTCCCTTTACAAGCTGTTTTTTTGTTTGTTTGTTTGTTTCTTTGTTTTTGGTTTTATGAGACAGGGTTTCTCTGTATTGTTTTGGAGGCTGTCAGTCCAGCCCAGCCTCGAACTCACAGGGATCCGCCTGCCTCTGCCTCCCGAGTGCTGGTATTAAAGGTGTGCGCCACCATGGCCTGGCTACAAGCTGTTTTTATGTTTTTTTTAAATTGCATTTTATTCAGTGTGTGTGTGTGCGTGCATGGGCCACTGCACATGTGGAGGGAGGTCAGAGGACAACTTGCAGCATCTGTTCTCTCCTTCCACTGTGTGAGACCCAGGGTGCAAACCTGGATTATCAGGGTTGGCAGCAAGCACCTTTACCCATTGCTCTGCTTTTGGTTTGAGGAAGACCTCGCTCTGAAGCTCAAGCTGACCTGGAACTCTTTACATAGCCTAGACAGACCTTGAACTGGTGACAATCTCCTATCCCAGCTTCCTGAATGCAGAAATTACAAGTATAAAGCCACCACAACTGGCCACAATTTACTTTAATATTTGTTTCTATAAAAAGGCCAAACTCTTGGTTAAATGTCACAACTGAATGCCAAAAGTACCTACAGGAGATGCATGGTTTTCACTTTGTTAACTCTCCTATTGATTAAATTGTTCCATAGACTAAAAATGTAGTCAAATCATGACGTCCAAGTTTCTTTCCTTTTCAGCTGATCACAAAGAATTGGACAAAAAATAAAAAGCAGAGCTGCTCCAAGTTCACAAGGCTTGGCTAACACAGAGACACTGGCTTTCCCCAGCATCATACAGTATTTGACTTTAACAAAAATATTTTCAAAGTTCTCTATTATTGTATGGGTACCCACTAGGATGATGATTTGTACATTTAGCAATAGCGAACTATGTGTCTAATTAAGCTAAGTAATTTGGAGAAAAAGAAAACAAACTATCCCTTTTCAATTGGTTTCACACTTTTTTTTACAGACAACACAAAATTGAGATAAAACTGTAGATCACTATAAATCTGATCTTAACATTAGAACCTGCAGTATGTAAAAATTCCAGTTGTATATTGTGAGGCATTTGTCAAACAATAACCAAATGTTTTAAGCTTGTAAAGTAATATTTGGGTGACTGATACTGCCATGGATCCTTTTGTTTGGTTTTTTTTTTATATAAATTCAGATATTCTAGTAAACTAATTTTTTCATCTAGTTAGTCTTTGGGTTATCACTTCTCGATACATAATAGAGATGTAGATAAGCAACAAAAAGATAACAAAGAAGTCATCTAGAAAGCCCAGAATTCCAAACAAGGCTTCAGGAACAAAGTCTAGAGGTGATATTAGATAGAAAAAAGCTCCCATTAAACAAAGCATTATCCTAATTCGGAACATCCAGAAGAGACCGCCAACTGAAAAGACTTCCCTGAATGCATGTCTCAGCAAGGTAGGGAGATCCATGATTCTTTCCATAATCTGAAGGAGGAAAAACAAGTACTACGATTTAACATCTAATGTATCAAATTAAAAAGTAATATAATTTTTGTACAATGTTCAAATTCAGCTAAGATGAATTAAGGTGTTTCATACATTCAATACCAGACTTTCCAGTTATGCATTTTATTAAAAAATTAGTAGATTCTTATAAAACAGGTTTTATTATAGATAACTAAAAAGTAATAAAAGTACCAAAATGCTTTAAATGTGGGATATAGATTGAGTACACCTTATCTGAAAGTCTAAAACTTCAAATGCTATATAATTTTGAAGTATTCTGAAACATAAAAGGCTCTACAGCCTAAAACTCTAGAGTAAAAATGTTTTGGATTTCAGAATATTGTATGACTTTCAGATTTGAGAGGTTCTATTGTAAAATCCATGTGAATACTCTGAAATCTGAAATCTTAGGTCTCAAGCATTTCAGGTAAGTGGTTCTAAGCCTAAAGTCATCAAAACTCAAGTTATCAATAAACTGATTTAACCAAATAAGTCAAGAAACCATAGGCCAGGAATAGTAGCTCACACAGGTATTTCCCAGCACCAGGAGCTGGAAGGCAGGAGGATCAACAATAGTTCAAGGTCAGCCTAGGCTACAGAATGAAACACTGTCTCAAAAAAAAAAAAAGATTATATAGGCTTATAGTCTGAGACTTGCTCCCAAGTATCAGATTATTATCAAGATATATCTGAGTTGAATTCGAAAGTAATAAATTATCAGATGAGGTAACCTTGGGTTACAACTTTATAACTTGCTAGAGATAATTTAACAGTAATTGAGTTTTTAATTACCTAGAAGAATTACTAAGAACTAAAGAGATATTGCACAGAAAGTCCTTTTTAATAATAAAAAAATGATAAAAGGCCAGATTATGTACAGTTTTTATAACACTGGGGATTGAACCTAGGGCCCTGGTAGGCAAGTGTTTTACTCTGAGCTATATCCTTTGATCTCCTTTTACTTTTTTTAATTCAGAGAGCATCTCATCAAGTTGCTAAGGCTCGACTTCATTTTGTGATCCTCCTGCCTCAGCTTCCCAAATACCTGGGATTACATGTTTGTTCCACCAGGTCTGGGTAAGTATTACATATTAAAAACACACTAAGATGTGTGCACACACATGAGGGACAGAGGGCTACCATACTCTATAGATGTCCCTAGAGGACATATGTAAAATAAATAAATAAAATCACATTGGAGAGATGGCTCAGAGGTTAGGAGCACTTGCTATTATTGTAGAGGATGTAGGTTTGGTTTCCAACACCCACATTGGGTGGCCTACAATCACTATTCCAGTTCCAGAGGTACTGATGCCCTCTTTAGGCCTCCATGGACACCTCCATGCATGTGATGCACACACACACATGCAAGCACACATACCAGTACATAAATAAAGCTTTTTTTAATGCTAGGTCAAAAACAGGACAGGAATTGAGCATGGTGGCACATGTCTTTAATCCTAGTACTTGGGAGGCAGAAGCAAGTAGACATGTGTGATTTCAAGACCAGACTAGTTATATATCAAGTTTCAGACAAGCCAGGGCTACATAGTGAGATTCTGTCTCAAAAAGAAAAAGAAAACTGTGGCCCCTGGGAAAGCTATAACTCAGTGACTGGAAATGAGGGTTAAAACTTGTTCCAAATCACATAGAAAACCTTGTATAGTCCAAGAGCTTGTTGTAAATCTGATTTACAAAAAGAAGTATAAAGGTTGTCTCAGACTTTACATCTGTTATAACATTACTTACAGATCTAGGCTGCCCTGAGAATCTCCGGTTATAATCATTAACATCTTGACGCAATCTTACAACATCCTGAGACTGATCATCTTCACCAAATACTGTTAGGAGTAGAGTTACCTGTGTGTTACAGGAAAAAGCTGTTACACCTTCTGCACCATATTATTACTTTTTCACTGTGTGTTCAAGAGAATGATAAAAGCTTCTGAATGTGTATGTCATCCATTCCTTTGAATAAAGGCAACATGGGGGAACAAGTAAATAACTACTGCCTTACAGTAAAATGTAATACAAATTACAATTTTTAATTCTTCCAAGATAAAATAGGTTCCACATCTAAGCACTTACTCTAATATTTTCCTGTAAATATCAGGGGCTAAAACTCATAGTTCTCTGGAAAAAACATATACTTGGAAATAAAAGGATGATAGGAAAATCTTCAGTAACAAAGTTAAAAATATTTTTAAAACATTAAAAATATAAACCTATCACTTTCAGAGAAAAGATTGAGCATTTCTGAATTACTCATTTTTACTCACATTCAACATATCTTTCAGTGCTATCATAATACAGAAATTATAATACCATATGGCCTGACTCTCTGAAACACCAATTCCTTTTGAAATAAGCAGATATAAGTCTTAGTACTGTTACTGACAAAGATTAGTTTTGCTACTTTCATGGCCATTGAAAAGATGGCACACACTTGCCTCAGGACAATACAGGGACCTTGAAAAATAAGTATAGCTAAGAAGATAACACCGTGTAAGGAATAATGAATCATTGATAAATATAATGAGATAAAATGGAAGGGCCTCAAAATAGGTTTAGCAGGCTGGAGTTCAATTCCCAGCAACTACATGGTGGCTCATGTACATGCAGACAGAGCACTCGTATACATATTACATAAATAAATCTTAAAAAATAAGAACATGTTTAGTTTTGAACCATTCTAGATGTTTTTATCCTTCCTCAGGTTAAGAAAACCACTGATCAGGTATTTTCCAAACAGTTAAATGAAGGATTGACTGAATGGTATAAACAGCAGACACAGTCATTCATTCCTCCAGAGACTTGTTAATAAAGATGTAGTCTCTGAAACAAAGCAATAATTTTTAAGTCTCTAGCAAGATTAGTCTTTATATGTCAGGACAGTCAAATCACTCTTTAGAGATTTAATCCTCATGGCATTTCCCTTCTTACAAGTGTTCTTTTCTAAAAGCTTGAATTGTTTTGTTTATTTAATGCAATCTTGTCAGGAATGGTGGCACATGTCTTTAAATCCCAGCACTACGGAGGCAGAGGCAGGCAGATCTCTGTGAGTTTAAGTCCATCCTGATTTACCTAGTGAGTTCTACGACAGCCAGGGCTGCATAATGAGAGCCTGTCTCAATAAAAACAAGTGAATGAATGAATACAGTCCTTCAGTAAATATCAGCTGAGCATCTACTGTGAGGTAGGCACTGTGTTAGTGCTATGCACACCAGGAAAAAAAAGAAGTCACAGCCTCACCATGATTGACCTCAAAGAGAAACAGGGAGGCTTGCCTGTGGCATTGCAGGTGACATTACAACAAAAGTCAACTTTTCCCTGGGATGTCTAGTAACCCTGAAGAATGAGAAAGGCTTGAAATACTGGTACTTTATAAGTCAATGTACACAGAACAGTGGCAAGTGTGCTGCTCTCCTCAGAGACAGCAGCCGGCACCTTATTTCCATGGCCTTTTGTCCAGTGAAACAGGAGGTAGAGCAGCACTTTCTACTGTCTTGCCTCCAGTTGAATGACTACAGTTACGGAAGCAATGGCTATGGGACTAAGCGTCATCACCTTACTAGTCCCTAGTCAGTTTTCAGTACAGCATGCACAGGTTCTAGGAAAGCCATGGGTAAGTAAAAAAGCGGGGCTGCATAGTGTGTGGGGCTTTGATAGAAATGGCCCCATCGGCACACAGATTGCATGCCTGGTCACTGGGGAGTAGTGGTGTAACTACAGGGATTGGGGGTGTAACCTTGTGGAAGAAGGGTGTGTGTGGGGAGGCTTTGCAGTTTTATATGCTCAAGCCAGGCCTCCCTCCCTCCCTCCCTCTCTCTCTCTCTCTCTCTCTCTCTCTCTCTCTCTCTCTCTCTCTCTCTCTCTCTCTCTGTCTCTCTCTGTCTCTGTCTCTGTCTCTGTCTCTCAGTCTCTCTCCCTCTCTCTCTCCTGCTGCCTTTAAATCTGGGTGTAAAACTCTCAGCTTCTTCTCCAGACCATGTCTGCCTGCATGTTGACATGCTTCCCGCCATGATGATAATGGACTAAACCTCTCAAACTGTAAGCAAGTTCCAATTAAATGTTTCCCTTTATAAGAGTTGCCATGGTCATGGTGTCTCTTCACAGCAACAGAACACTGACTAAAACATGGTAGAACTCACTTTTCAGTTCAGGATACACTACCTGGCCTCTATGTTTCTGGCAAACAGTTAGAGCTAGTAGTGATTAACTTATAGCAAATTGACTGCCTACATAACATGCTGCCTTTTGCAGGGAACAACACATTGTCCATTCTTTTGGTATTCCTCACAACCCCACGGGACAGGCTATTGTGGAGCACACCCATGCCACTCTCAAACAGTATTTTAAGAAAATAAAAAAGGGGGCAGTATGTTACCTCCCCCAATATTCAGTTGTCCACCATACTTTACATTTTAAATTTTTTGACCATAGACCATAATAATTTGTCTGCTATGGAGAGACATTGGAACAAACCCTCCCAGTCCTTGGGATGGGTCAGATGGAAGGATTTGATTACAGGAAAATGGCAGCCACCCACTCCCCTACTAGCTAGGGTCCGAGGGGCTGTTTGTGTTTTCCCTCCAGGAAGTGAGAAGCCCATTTGGGTCCCCGAACGGTGCATCAGGCATGTCGACCCCAATACTACTCCGGATACTAGGAATGCTCACCATGATAAAGATGATCCAACCATTGCTGAACACTCAGGTAAGGGAAATATGGGCGTTGGTGAGGATCCCCCCCCCCATGTTAATGCCAGTTAGTCATTCCAGCTCCCTGTTCATCAATTTTTATAACACCAATAATACATTGGAAGTGGCTGCTGCCAATGAGATTAAAAAGTCAGAAACTAGACATTCTGAGTTTCCCCCTCCTAAGCCTGATACCAGGGTCAGGAAGTAGGGGAATCCAAGAGATTCCCAGCAGCATACACCTTTAATCCCAACACAACACACCTTTATGCAAGTCCCAGGACAGCCTCCAAACAATACAGAGAAACCCTGACTCAAAAAAAAAATTGGTAACAGTAAAGAGGTACTGGTATTAAGTAAAAAAAAAAAAGAAAAGAAAAAGACAAAGGTATATGGAATGAAAAATTTTGTTTACATTTAAGTTCTATTTTGTGAGTCATCTCTAAAAACTTTTGGCTAAAAGCCTGGCCTCTCCACCTTGCATCTACAGAATTACAAGGAGTATGTACGGCTGTACCCCATGACTATAGCTCAAATGGAGGAATGATAAAGAACATACAGGACTTTTAACCCTTTTAGTTCAAGGATTGGCTGGAGTTGTTCTTTTACATAGATTTCAATTAAGGGAGCTTCATTGCAACAGACTAATCATGACCTAGGGAAAAAGGATGACTAAAAGATGCATGTATGTTCTGAATGTATGGTGTGGCCACACCGGTATGTATGAAATGTGATTGTGAATGTGTGAGTGTGAACTGCTTATATGATTAAAAGGATACTTAAATCCCTTCAAAAATAGTTAAGAAGCTACCTAGATTGCTTTAAATATAGCCAAAAAGGAACATCCAGCCAGTCTGTTAATGTTTTAACAAAAAAAATTTAAGATGCAAATGAGGCCTTGTCAGCTAGTGAGAGCTCTACAGGTTAGATTGGGAAAGACTGCTCACAGACTTCAAATAATTTTCAAAAGTTATTTGGACACAGTATAGTTTACAATCTTTGAGTGATTTTCAGAAGTTTTTGGGAAATATTTAATGGATATGTCCTTTTTAATGGGCATCTACAAATAATCTAAGTAGTAATCCCAATTTACCTAGATAGTTAACCAAGGAGGGTAGACAAATCCTTCTACTGTTATGGCCCAGCTTCAACAGTTCAAAAAAAATTTTTTTAGAAAATAAAAAAGGGGGAATAATGCCCCCAGTCCCCACATGACTCATCAAATAATACACTCCTCATTTAAAAATTTTATAATGTGAATGCCAGTGAGCTTCAGACAGATTCTGGCATGATGGAACTTGAGCAACCATTGCTCAGGTCAAATGGAGACATCCATGCACTAGACAGTGGAGAAGACCCTAATTTGGGGTCGAGGGCATGTTTGTGTTTTCTTGCAGGAAAAGAATAAAGCTTCGGCAGCTGTCAGACCATTTAGTGAGATGCATGGAGCAGAGAAAAACTGGACCTGAGACCATGGGAGCCTACCTAAGCCAGTTTGAGTGAGATCTCCTAAATCAGTGTTCCTGACCCTTGATGTCATCAAATCTACAGCCCAAGAAAGAAAGAAAACAGTCGGTTCGAGATTTCCAGTTTCTCAACAGACCTGCTGCATCAACCTTCCAGACCCATGAGTTTTCATCGTGAAGCCAACAGAGAAAAAAGGACCCATTTAAAGCATTTGGACATTGGTATGGACTATGAGTGGCAAAAGCCTCTTTTCAAGATTTGAACAGGACATGGTCACTTGAAATATCAGACTTAGTGGTTCCTGTTTCTAGAATCACGACTAGGCCAGTGTATTTTTCTGGAGAAATGCAACTTGTCCTAATGCGACAACTATTGTTCATATTTTTCGTAATGCTACATGTGTAACATCAATGATTGTACCTAATGTATCTGTGCAAGTGCACTTTCTAAATGCTTTCCTGAGCAGATCTTGAAACGATTGGAAACTTTATCAAATTGTAAATGTAAATCACATGCAGGTTACCCTTGTAACAGACGAAGGCTGGTAGAATGTTATGGCCCAGATCTGGTGATGGGTATGGTGATGGAGAGGCGCTATGTCGATGGGGGTCCTGGAAATGGTGGCAGTGGCAGTAGGCATTCTGGCTTTATGCCGAGCTCAAACGTGCCTTGTTCCAGAGACAAGAGATCCGTAACCAAGTATTGCTTAGCTTAGCCCATGGCAATCCCGATAGCCATGAAGGTTGGTTACAGATGATTTAAGGTTGGGGTATCTCCGATGACGGGCAACCTGTGGGGAAGACCCCTCCCACCTAAAACAGGGGTTCAAGGTCCCCCAAAGACTGGAAAGGGAGGGTGACCCTACTCGACCTAAGCCAGGAGTGCCTCATTTGAAAATAAAAAGGGGTGAATTGTGGGAACACCAGACCTTGAGCAGAGACCCACTTCCCCTTCTGCCTGGGAGTAGGCAGCTGTAAGACAATGTTTAGTAAAAACATGTTTACTAAAAACGATACAATAAGTTCCTGGGAAAGGCCTTCCCACGGAAACCGCCTTGACTTCGACCTTGTCCAAAGACTAATCGCACCTTAAAAACCCACACACATCCACCTCTGGGTCAGAGCAGAACCAGCCAGGGGAGAGGAGAGAGCAAAAGCTTCTCTGGTGGGAGCTTTTCTTAGGAGGTTTTCTTGAACCTTTTTGGAGCCTGTTTAAAGTTTTCTTTATATCGTTGAACGAGTCTCTGTGTTGTCAATCCCCGACACCCTCCGCACGTTCTCGGACACAGGCCGCGCAGCAGACGTGACAATAACACGTCAAGTTAGTCACAGAAACAATGGAAAAGGGGAAAATCATCTTTTCTTCTAACCATGTAATAAAAAGTAAAAAGTGAGCCGGGTGGTAATAGGGCACACCTTTAATCCCAGCACTCGGGAGGTAGAAGCAGGCGGATCTCTGTGAGTTCGAGACCAGCCTGGTCTACAAAGAGCTAGTTCCAGGACAGCCTCTAAAGCCATAGAGAAACCCTGTCTCCAAAAACAAAAACAAACAAACAAAAAGGTTAAAAAGTGACTGAGGTAGAGTTTGAGACTACAGAAATAAAAAGGAAACAAGAAGAAAATCTAGTTCTCCTGTTCTAACAGTAACAGAAAAATGACAGCCAGAACAAAGGATACCCACACTGTAAGAATACCTGTGTTGTCTTTAAGGCCTATACCCAAAAGATGCACATTCATACAACAAGGAGATCTATTCCACTATGTTTACAGCAGCATTATTTTTAATAGCCATAACTTGGAAGCAACCTAGATGCCCCTCAACTGAAGAGTGTATAGAGAAAATGTGGTACATTTATACAATGGAGTACTACTCAGCAGAAAAAACAATGGAATCTTGAAATTCCAAGGCAAATGGATGTCGCTAGAATAAACCATCCTGAGTGAGGTAACCCAGTCACAAAAAGACAAACATGGTATATACTCACTCACATATGGATTTTAGACATGGAGCAGGGGATTGCCAGCCTACAATCCCATCGCCAAAGAGTCTAGGAAACAGGCAGGACCCTAAGAGAGATGTGTATGGTACCCTGGAGAAGGGGAGTGAACTGAGCAGATTGGGAGCATGGGGGGAGGGGAGAGGGAGCTGGGAGAAAGAGAGGGGGAGAAGAGAAGGGGAGAGCAGGACATGGGGGAGCAGGAGGGTTGAGTTGAGTGAAGAATAGAGGAGAGCAGGATGAGAGATACCATAATAGAGGGAGGCATTATAGGTTTGAGGAGAGATCTGGCACTAGTGAGATTTCCAGAGATCTACAAGGATAACACCAACTGGCAATCTAAGCAATAGTGAAGAGGCTACCTTAAATGCCCTTCCCCAATAATGAGATTGATGACTATCTCATATGCCATCCTAGAGCCTTCATCCAGTGGCTGATGGAAGCAGAGGCAGACACCCACAGCAAAACATTGAAATGAACTCCTGGAACCCAGTTTCAGAGAGGAAAGAATGATGAGCAAAGGAGTCAAGACTGGGCTGGTGAAACCCACAGAGACAGCTAACCTGAACAAGGGAGAGCTCAATCTCACCCAGATTGATGGCTGAGAGGTTCGCATGGGACTGATCCAGACCCCCTGAACATGGGTGTCAGTGAGAAGCCCTCAGCAATCTATGGGGCCTCAGGTAGTAGATCAGTATTTATACCTGACATACAAATGGACTTTGGGAGCCCATTCCACATGGAGAGATGCTCTCTCAGCCTGGACACATGAGGGAGGGCCTAGGCCCTGCCATGGATGATATGTCAGACTTTGGAGATCCCCCATGGAGGGCCTCACCCTCTCTGGGGAGGGGAGGGAGAGATAGGGTGTAAGGTTGGGGGGAGGGGAGGGAGTGGGAGTTGGGATTGACTTGTGAAGCAAGCTTATTTCTAATTTAATTAAAAATGAAAGAATACCTGTTTTTCAATATCAAAGTTCAAAGAAAATGGCACAAGTTAAATATATATATATTTTAAAAGGAAAAACATATTTTTCCCAAAAGACAACAATACGAAAGAGATAACATGTTGCCATGTGATTATCTATCTCATTTATTCCTGTGCTGGTCATACAATAAAGGCTTAGGAATTGAGACAAACTCATTTATCACTTGCTTTTCACTGCAACTGTAGGATTTCAAATATAATTCATCTTTTATTATGCCTTAATAATTTTTTAAATGTATTTTTAAAAAACTTAGTGAAGTCACAGACACAGTAAAAATGCAGTTTGGCTGAAAAAGTAGCTGAATTTAAATTTTAAAACTGGTAATACTGGGAAGAGAGATGGCTCAGTGGTTAAGAACGCTTAGCTCTTGCAGATGACTAGGTTCAGTTCTCAGCACCAGTATTACCAAAGTTATCCATAAGTTCAATCTGCAAGGATCCAATGCCGCCTTATGACTTCTGTGGACTCTTGCACACACAGGCAGCAAATACATACACTCAGGCACATACACATAAAGTAAACATTTTAAAACAAGAAAATCTGCTAATATTTATGAGCTAAAATAGCATAAGTTATGCTATACACACACACACACACATATACACAAAATATTACCGTTTGTCTACAGATTGGACAACTGATTGCACCAAGCCAAGACCCATATCTCCAGTACGCAATTATGCAGGAACCTAATGGAATAAGAAAATATCAACAATGAAGCTTTAAAGTCCATATACGCTGGTCAAGTTTCAACTATTTAACAGCATTACTTTCCTTAAAACACTTTTACCACACTGTTTATCTACATTGTTTATCAAATATTCCTTTAAAAATGTTTACTTCATCCAACCAGCTCTTCAGATGAATTAAAATCTGGCAACCATTTCCAACCATCAAAACACATTTTTATTTAAACTACTTATTAAGCACAGACATTTTTATACAATAAAAAGCAAATATTAACCACCTCAGTTATTAAGGTTTCATAGAAAATAGTTTCCTATATAAAATAACATGGTGCTAAATATGATAAACTGTCAGATACTTTTTGTTCCAAATTTGATGTATTTGAAAAATATTTTTTTTAGTTCACTGAACCAGCAGGGTGTGGTGACACATACCTGGGAAGCACAGAGAGCTGGATTTCAAGTTAGAGACTACAGTGGGTTACCCAGTAAAACCCTGTCTCAACAACAAGGATTTAGAAAGCCAAATTAAATGAGGCATGGTGGGTATAATCCCTTCATTTAGGAGGTTGAGGTGAGAGGGTCAGGAGTTTAAGATCAACCTCAACTACACAGTAAGTTCAAGGTTAGCCTAGGCTACATGAGACCTTCCTCCCTGACACTCCAAAAACTGAACACCAAATTACTGGAATACTGGGCTTCCTTGATAAAATTTGTATTCTAGTTTAATATTTGAAGTACTTACTATACTAGATGATATTCGTGAGGATGGGGGAGATGACTCAGTCAGTAAAGTCTTTGCTGTACAAATATGAGGACCTCAGTTAGTTCCCAAGAACCAATGTAAAATAGTTGGATATTGTGACATACACACGGAATCCTAGTACTGGAGAGGCAGAGACAAGGGGATTCCTGGGGCTCACTGGCCAACCAGCCTAGCCTACCTAGCAAGCTCCACAACAGTAAGAGAGCAAACTCCCCTCCAAAAAAAGAGAAAAGGTCAGGCCTGGGGAGTTAGCTGAGTATGTAAAGTAAGAGTAAATATGAGAACTTTGATCCTAGTACTCATGTTCATTTTTGGTATTGCTTAAATCCAGGTTCTGCAGTTTGTGCCTGTGATGCCAAAGCAGAAAAGATGGCAATATGCACATTCCTAGGCCTTGCTAGCCAGTCAGTCTAGCCAAATGAACAAGCTCTAGGTTGAGGGAAGAGTCTCGATCTCAAAAATAAGGTAGAGACTGAGGAAGATACCACCAAATGCATGCACACCCCCACCCCATACACACAAATGAAAAGAGAGAAGGTATCTGAGGACCAACACCTGAGATTGACATGGGTCTCTATAAGCACCCACATACACATGCACAACCACAGGAACACACACACACACACACACACACACACACACACACACACACACAGATTCATGGGCAACAAAACAACCACAGATGGCAACCCTGCCTGAAAGAAGACTTCAAAAGTATACACTCAGTAGATAAACACTTTAACTTCAACCCAATAACATGAAGGAACATTTTTACTGTCTGATCCTTTTAAAGGGTCAAACAGCTTCATGTATGACTCTACTAAGCTATATTTGCAGCTCATGTTCCTTACTCTGACCTCTGTAGACCAGAATTTAGAAGAAGCAATAGCAATTCAATTGTGGAAAATAAAGTGGCATAATCAAAGCAGTTAGAAGATAGCTAAGTCTTAAACTGCAATACTAAACAAAAAGGAGTAAACAGATGGCAACCTAGCACAGCACTGGAAGTGAACTTTGTAGGATAGCTAAGGCTTAGAGGTAGAAAACAGGTGACAAGACACTTGCATTCTTTATACACAAGAGTTAAAGCAGAAAGGAATGGTTTGTGAGAATACTGGTTAGCAACCACTTGCATTGATCAAATTGGGGAACAGCCAATTCACCAACTTCAAGATAAATTTAAAAGCTAAAGTGGCATCTCATGCCTATACCTTATTGGGGCTCTGGGTTAATTACAAAATTTATTAAGTACTTTGGGCATTCTAATTTCACACAAAACCTGAAGCAAAACTTGGGGCTGTAGAGATAGCTCAGTTATTGAAGTGCTTGTCCCCAGAGCCCAAGTGAAACGAAGGCCAGGAGGTTAGGGAACTACATTAGTACCCCAGTTTGGATCTGCGGCATCAGTGTAAAAGCCAGTGGCATGTGTCTGTAACTCCAGCATGGGGGTAGCTTGTTGGTCAGCTAGTCTAACCTAATCACTGAGCTCCAGGTTGGGAAGGGAGCAGGGGGATGGGGACCAAACCAACATTAGCCAAGTGTGGTGGCACACACCTTTAATCTTAGCACTAGGGTAGTTGAGGCAGGTGGATCTCTCTGAGTTTGAGGCCAGCTTGGTCTACACAGTGAGTTCCAGGAGAGTCAGAGCTACATTAATAGAGAGACCCTATCTCAAAAAGCAAACAAAAAACTCACTACCACCAACAAAAAACTAAGACTGCTGACAATACCAGCACCAACTCTGACTTCAACACATATGCGTGTGAGAATGTGTATGCATGCCCACACAAATACATAAACCTATACACACAGAAATATGCATACAGTGCATATATACACATGTATATAGACACAATAAGAAAACAGATTAGTCTATTAGTGATATTATTTTCATCTGATACTATGACTTAGCTTTATCTATGACCTTTTCACCCAAAAAGTCAGCCTACTTTGACAGACATTACACTTATTTAATCTCAAGTATCTTTTCCTCAAACTAGGATGTGGGTGTCCTTATTTTGCCAATTATGTAACATCACTTGGCTTCACTGAAAAACTATGACTCAGTAGATTAAATGCTTCAGTTCATTTGCTACTAGATGCTTGATTTTTTTTTATTCAATTTTCTCTCTCCACAGAAAAAGATACTAAGGCATCATCTGGTTCAAGAGATGACTGAACTTTCATCTGGATCACAATCTCTCTGAATCTATTTAATTGCAAAAAAACGAGAACAAAATTCCACAGGCCTGACAGAGTTAAATAATGTAGATTACAGATGCAAATAAGATGATTCTGCTGCTGCTATTATTCTAATTTACTGTCATGGAGCAAAGGTGTTATGCTACATAAAAAACTTACTGAACTAAGAGCTCTTGACACATGAAGAATTAATATACTTGAATTACTGTCCAGATAATTTTTTGAGAAATTGCATAACAAGATTTTTACTTTTGAATTTACTAAATAAATAAATGTGTGCAACATGGCTCAGTTGTTAGAGTGTTAACTTAGCATGCACAAGGCAAATACACTAGGCATGGTAGCGTATGCCTGAATCTCAGCACCTGAGAGTAATGTGGTTCACAAGTTCAAGGTCATCCTGGGTTACATAGCACATTTGAGGCCAATCTAGGATACATGAGACCCATCTCAAAAGAAAAGCGTACCTAACAAGTAGAGCAGGGTATCAGAAGCAATCTACCCTATTACCTCAGACCCAGTGGTAAAAGGAAGAACACAATACAGCCATCTTTCAATTGACAGGATTATCCACTCAGTGAACAGCTATGCCTGAGTTGGCAAATAAGTTCATTTTGCCTGCCAAGCCTCACAGATTGCTAACACCTTCAGGGAGGATGATCAAGGCCCTGTGTAGATTCAGAAGGCAGGTCAGATGGATCACGAATACCTACCACAGGCCTGAGAGCAGCAAGATGTCTGTCTCTCCTAATGGCCATTAGCTTCCCTCCTTCATTTGATCCTCATTATCCTGCTATTCTTCAGCATTTCCAAAAGACAATTAAAAGACTGAAACATGGCTGGGCAGATGCCTCAGTAAACAAAGTGCTTGCTATTCAAGTTTGAGGACCTGAGTTCAGACTCCTAGAACCCATGGACAGCTGGATGCAGTAGTCCATGTCTGTAATCTTGGTGCTCTAGAGATGGGATGTGGAGACAGGAGAAGATGCAGAAGCTTGTGGGCCAGCTAGGTTGGCATATGCAGACATGAACAAGAAACCCTATCTCACCATGGAAGGCAAGGAGTCACCTGGATTTGTCATTTAACGTCTCTACACACACCATGGTACCGGAACTGACGCGCACAAACACAGAAAGTCTTAAACCAAAACAAAGAAAAGCCGAAGAGAAGGGCTGGGCAAAGTTCCTGGGAGAACTGGCCTCCCTTGGCAAAGGTGAATAATAAATTCCACAGAAAATTCAGTGTTCTATCTATATATGTTAGGGACTTGAGCAAAAACCTTAGTGAAGTTGGACATGGTGGTGCACACCTGTATCCCAATATTTTGGAAAATAAGGTAGGAGAACTGCCAGTTAGCTCAGTGTCTGGCTGGTGTACAAAGCAACTTACTGTCCCCCCCCAAAAAATTCAAACCATAGTTAGGTCTGATGGCGCATGCTTTTAGTCTCAGCATTTGGAAGGCAGAGGGAGTTGAATCTCTGGGTTTGAAGCAAGCCAAGTTCTAGGCCAGCCAGGGCTACAAGGTGAGACCCAGTATTTAAGAACAAAATCTTGGGGAGTTTGAAATTAATGGCTGAAGGAACACAGAACTAGACTAAGTATAATAATCACAATGTATGGAAAACTGCACTTCAAGGTAGGGATTTCAAATATTCCTATCAAACACAGTATTATTAATAGTAAAACTTTAAAAATTCTATTATGAAGTCAAACAAAAGACACAAAAGGGAGGACACTAATGAAGGATCATGATATACTATATTTTAAATTAGTCTTTACGTAAAACTTCAGAAGATTATTGGGAATAATTAAGACCCATCTTAATTGTATATACTAATGGGTAGACTGTTTCTAATTCTACTCATTAGCCATTTTTATGTAGTATCTGTAGGTTCAAGAGAAAAAGAAAAACACCGTTATTCAACTTGCAACTAACAGAAAGGAATACTATTACTGAAAAATAGGCCTAATGATTGGACATATCTAACTTAAGAGCAGTTCTTAGAGTGTTCATCTTCCTGTGAGCCACCAATCAAAGCAGAACTAAGCACAGAGCTTAAAGACAGATCTGGGTTGTTTGACAGCTGGGTTACCCATTATAAGACTTCTTGCCTTCCCTGAGCCTCAGTTTCTGATTTGTGGGGTTGGGATGAGATTCAGTGTGTTATACTTCCAGTGCAGTAGGCACATCCCAATCTTGTATGGACACTGTAAGAAATAATGGGATCTTGGTACTCTCTATGAAGTCTTTCTGGGAGCCAGGAAAACCAATAGAAGACACCTCTCATTGATGCTGAATTTGAAAATACTCCCTCTATGCTGGAATGTATTTCAGGTTTCCCATTCTCTGTTTCCAACTCCTTAAGGTCACACAGAAAGAATAAAGACAGGTAGTAGAGGTTTGTGGCTTAGGTCTTGAGATACAATCTTGCCACAGGAAGTTTGAATATTTGAACACATAAAACTGACTAAAGTTGAAGGATTCAGTGGACCCATAATGCTACTAGTAAACTTGAACTATTCTTCCAAGAAACAGATTGCTTGGAACCCACAAAAGCAAACACACTAAATGGGAAATAAGTTATGATTTGGGACTGTCTGTCTGTCTGTCTGTGTGTGTACACTATCACACATGCATGGGTACATACTTTTTTTGAGACTGGGTCTGGAGTAACCCACGCTCTTTGAGGATGACTTTGAACTTCTGATCCTCCTTCCTCCACTGAGTACAAGGATTTAGGCATGCACCACCATGTCTGGTTTATACAGTCCTTGGGGATCATGTGCATGGTAGGAGACACTCTACTGAATGATCTGCATCCTCAGACCTTAGTATGTTTACCATCTAAATAACATATTATTATTTGAATGGCATTAGAGCAGGACATCAGAAGCAATCTACTTTTCTCAGGAAACAGAAGATAAAAAAAGAAAATTATCAATCCAGCCTATGTACACACATAGATCTTAAGCTAGTCACTTTAACCAAGTATGATATTGCTTGCTTACCACAAAAAAGATGTCCACAGTTCGTTTCAACAGGAAAGGAGGCTTGATGTAAGCAAATTGGACAGTACATTTCAGTGTAGAACTGCTGTCGAGCAGGAGCAGGGACATCCTGGTGGGAGGACACAGACACACCTCTCAGAACAGAAATTACACATACACACTAGTTTAAGGTCTTGCAAGACGGAGACGCTTAAAAACTTATATTGTTTTATTTAAGCTACTTGACCTCCACCTTCCTTCTTAAACACAATTTGAAAACAAAATACAGATTAATTCAAAGTTTGTCTTTTACTTTATTACAATGCATATATTATTTTGAGCTCCACAAGCTAATATATAAACTAGAGAATAGGAAACACCAGACTTTGGCGGGTGTTGGTGGCACATGCCTGTAATCCCAGCACTTGGGAGGCAGAGGCAGGTGGATCTCTGTGAGTTCGAGGCCAACCTGGTCTACAGAGTGAGTTCCAGGACAGGGCTCTGCTACACAGAGAAACCCTGTTTGGGGGGGAGGGAGATAAAACGAGAATGTGCTTAATCTGAAAATATATAATCTGAAGAACAACTAATGTAACATAAGGAGTGAAGAAGTTGATGTTTCTCAGAGCCAGGCAGTGGTGGCGCACACCGTTAATCCCAGCACTCAGGAGGCAGAGGCAGAAGGATCTCTGTAAGTTTGAGGCCAGCCTGCTCTACAGAGCAAGTGCCAGGGTAGGCTCCAAAGCTACACAGAGAAACCCTGTCTCGAAAAAACTAACAAACAAAAAGATGATATTTCTCAAAAGATATTTTCTAATGTCTCACCACCATTACACATAAAAGGAAGTTATAACATTTCCTTACACAAATACATATACTACATAACCATACCTGTTCCGTTTGAAGTTGTTCTCGAAGCACCCTGACTAGTTCTTGGTTTTCTGGATGAATGTTCTGCTGTACATTTCTGTTGGACAGAATGCAGTAAATTCTGAAAAAAGCCTCAGATTATCCCCCTCTGTGTTATTAGTCTTAATTTTTGATCACAAGTAGATCCAGGCACTTGCTGTGAAGGCCTAATGCCTTGAGTTAGAGCTCCAGAGCCCACGTCAAGGCGAACGCAGAGAACTAACGCTACAGAGCTGCCCTCTGACTTCCACATGCACACCACGGCAAGCACTCCAACCCATAAATAATAATTATCACTTTAAAACAAATTTCTTTGTGTATGGTGTACACGTGTGTCTATGTGTGTGCATGTGTGCTATGACACATATGTGCAGACCAGAGTGTAACTTACAGGAGTTGCATCTCTTTTACCATGTGAGTTCTGGGACTAAACTCAAGTCATGGCAAATGTGTTTGCCCACTGACCTATCATCCTGGCCCAATAAATATTTTTCTTTTAATTTTAGAAAAAGAACTACATGAGGGCTGAAGAGATGGTTTAGTGGTTAAGAGCACTGGATGCTCTTCCAGAGGTCCCGAGTTCAATTCCCAGCAATCACATGGTGGTTCACAACCATCTATAATGAACCTGATGTCCTCTTCTGGCCTGCAGCCATACATACAGATAGAGCACTCATATACATATAATACATAATTTTTTGTTTAAATAGAAAAAGAACTACTGGTAACTTGATGTAACAAGTGTAACTGATGATATACAACTACACTTCGATTCCGGGATTATGAATTCTAGGCTACTCTGTGACTTATAGATTCCTCCCAAATCTATGATCATCAGCTGATTTCAGGTTTAAATGCTAAGTAATAAAATCCAGATGCCCAGTATCTTGGGAATTCTTTGCAACCTAATAATGTATAGAACAATTGACACATTTCTTTTGTGAAGATTCTTTGAAATAAGAAGTTAGGCCGGGCGGTGGTGGCGCACGCCTTTAATCCCAGCACTCGGGAGGCAGAGGCAGGTGGATCTCTGTGAGTTCGAGGCCAGGCTGGACCGATAGCCTCCAAAACAATACAGAGAAACTCTGTCTCGTAAAAACCAAAAAAAAAAAAAAAGAAGTTAGATAGTTCTACATATCATACAGCTGAACACTTTTCCACATCTAACTAGGTCTTTCTCCTAATTTTTCATGTTTAAGGAGAAGAGAAGACAACAAAAATTAAAATTATATAATGCAAAAATGCCAAAACTAACGGTGCTGGTTGGTTTTGTCAACTTGACACAAACCTAGATATATTTGGGAAGAGAGAATCTTAACTGAGAAAATAAGTGATCGATGTTCGACTCACTGGAGGTCGGGCCATCCCTGGGTAGATGGTCCTGGATGGAATAAGAAAGCCAGCTATGCAAGCCATGAGGATCAAATCAGTAAGCAGTACTCCTTCATGGACTCTGCTTCAGTTCCTGCCAAGATCCTATCCCGATTTCTCTTAGTAATGGAGTGTGACCTGAGAACTCCAAGAAGAGGAGACCCTATCTGGGCATTGGTGGTGCACGCCTTTAATCCCAGCACTCAGGAGGCAGAGGCAGGCGAATCTCTGTGAATTCGAGGCTGGGCTAGTCTGACAGCCTCCAAAACAATACAGAGAGACCCTGTCTCATAAAAACCAAAAAAAAAAAAAAAAAAAAGAGGAGACCCTTTCCTCCCCAACTTGCTTTTAGCAATGGTCTTTATCACAGCAACAGAAAGCAAACTAAGACAGGACAGGCATATACCACTAACTTCCTTTTTTGTTTGTTTGTTTTGTTTTTCGAGACAGGGTTTCTCTGTATTACTTTTGAGGCTGTCCTGGACTAGCTCTTGCAGACCAGGCTGGTCTCATATTCACAGAGATTCGCCTGCCTCTACCTCCCAAGTGCTGGGATTAAAACATGTGCCATCACTGCCTGGCTGCAATATTAATATTTTAATCAAAATGGAAACTATGAATTTAAATATTTCTAGGTAAGTCAGGAAAAAAAAAACATGGCAGCATTCACAGCTTAGTGGAAAATAAAAATACTTTAGTACACGTACACAGTCACCAAAACCAGCTATTACTTGGAAGAATGAGAGCGGTCCACCTTAGAGATACCCAATAGTACCTCAAATCATTTATCCTTTAGTCTCACCTGAAAAGTGCATATAGGAGAGTAGCAATCAAAGCAAAACTGACCACCACTGCCACAAGCACTTGGTCACTTACTCCTTCTATAACTGAATCATCCTGTTGTAGACTTGGAACTTCACTGTAGTATTTGGCCATTACAGGTCTAAAATACGAAGAAGTGACAGTGACATACATCAATAAAAGCAACATAAGTATGGCTTACTTCTAACACATCTAATACTTACAGCATGCTCTTTAATATAGGTTCTGTTTAGTACAACTCCAGTTAAAGTTCCCCTGCTAATGATTGTTTTTTTAACTTTACAGAATCAGTATTTGGGGGAGACAAAAATGCTATTTTAAGGAAACTACTTTTTTACCAACCATATTTATTTTTAAAGTAAAACTTTTTAAAATGCCTTTCCTGGAGGGCTGGAGAGGTAGTTCAGTTGGTAGAATACACACCTACCATTCACAAAGTTCTGGGTTTGAGCGCCAGAACTTTTGAGTGTAATAGTCTGAGGCAGGAGGATCACTGCAAGTTCAAAGCTGGTTTGGATTACATGATGAGTTCCAGGCCAGCCTGACCCACAAGGTAAAGCCCCAGTCTCAGAGGCAGAAAAAAATTGAGAAAAAAAATTAAATTAAAACACTTTCTCTGTTTAGGTTTAGTTCCTTAAAGGAAAAGATATTCTCCTACCCCAGTTTCTCATTTCTAACTCCTGAGTATCAAACAAAGTCTTCAAGTAGATTTTATCCCTGTGTCGTATCACATGAAGAGGAAACACAGTCCTCTACAGTACTGTATTATCCAACACATGCTCAGCACACAAAACTTAGTAAAAGGGACTGACCAGTGTACATGCAGTAAAGAGGGAAGGTCATCAAACTCCTTCCCAAATTGTGGAGGAAAATGAAAGCACCCAACACTACAAGCACGATGGGAAGCAACGCAACTACACTGTAGGTCAATCACAGGTAATTCTCCCCTGCACCCCAGTGAACAAAACCGTAATGCTCAAAGCCTTACATGATAACTAAAGGGAAACAATGGAATATTCAGTTAGATATGTAATAGTATAAATAAAGTTCTGCATTACAGAAAATATTGCACTGAAGTTTTAGCCATGGCTGAGGATGGAGTGCTTGCCTAGCATTCATAAACCCAGTTTCAATCCCTACCTCAAAATAAACTGACCCCCATCTGAAATCCAGCACCTGGTGAGGATCCCCAGCACACAGGCGGGAAGATCAAAAAGTTCAAAGTCTTACTTGACAACATAGCATACACGACTGTTATCAGCTTAGGACACATAAGCCCGTCTCAAAAAATACTTTTATCCAAAATCATTAATCTGGTGAATCTCTCTTAAGAAGAAAATACTAAGTGTGAAAAAACCCATATCCTTGAAATGCATACAAATTAGCTGCCAGTAAAATACCTCTTGGGAAAGAAACCTAAGCAAAGAAATGCATCAAGGATAGGCTTCATCAGCTTTACATAGCGTACCAGTTCCATATACCAGGAACTTTTAAAGAACAGGTTTCAAATTCCCATTGTGAAGCTACGAGATGGGAGGGGGGGAAGAGGGAGGGGAAGAGAGGGGGAGGGAAGGGGGAGGAGAGGAGAATGTGTGCTCTACTTTTAGTGTTTTCATTTAAAAACAGCCAAATGAACTGCTGGCTGAAGTTGGGGAAGGAGGGCATTTGAAATAATCTAAGGGCATGTCACGTAGCCAGCTAAGACTTTTTCCAGGTATTCTCTTTTTTAAATTAGACATGCTATGGCTGTGGTTAAAGGTCCTGAAGACTGGGAATGCAGTTAGTTGGTAGAGTGCTTGCTCTGCATGTACCACATAAACACACCGGGGAGGGACAGACAGGAGGTTCAGAAGTTCAACGTTATCCTTAGCTTTGTAGCAAGTTGGAGGCCAGTTTGGGCTGTAATACATGAGACCTGTCTCAAAAAGCATGCATTTTAGGTCAGGTGTGGTGGCACATGCTTTTAATCCTAACACTCAGGAGGTAGAGGCAGGTAGAACTCTGTGATTTGGAAGCCAGCCCTGGTTTAAACAGTGAGTGCCAGGACAGGCATGGTTATGTAGAAAAACCCTGTTTAAAAAAAAAAATCAGCCAGGCGGTGGTGGCGCTTGCCTTTAATCCCAGCACTCGGGAGGCAGAGGCAGGCGGATCTCTGTGAGTTCGAGACCAGCCTGGTCTACCGAGCAAGTTCCAGGACATGGTCCAAAAAACAATACAGAGAAACCCTGTCTCGAAAAACCAAAAAAAAAAAAAAAATCAGAGAAAGCAGTGCTTTGCAAGCCAGGCACATCAGTTGAGGCATTAAAGTTATTATCATTATTCACACTTCTCCTATGCTATACCTTAAGCAGTTCATTCTGAGAAAATTTGATAACTAAAGCCATTGGGTGGGCCATAAGCAGCACCATCTGTCAAGTACCTCCCACCCAGCACAGACTAGCAAATCACTTATTCCTGAAAGTAGAAAGGGAGACATACTATTAGTATATTGGAATAAATTTATAGTGTAAAGGCACAAGGGCATATTAAAATCATATCAGGGAACAAGAACTTATCCAACATGGTAGACTACGGAAGTGTAACTCTCTCACCTGGACCCAATAAATAGATACCTATCTTAGTTAGGGTTTCTATTGCTGAGACAAAACACCATGACCCAAAAGCAATTTGGGGAGGAAGGGTTTATTTGGCTTACATTTCAACATTGCTGTTCATCACAGAGTGAAGTCAGGACAGGAACTCTAACAGGGCAGGAGCTGATGCAGAGACCAAGTGAGGTGCTGTTTACTGGCTTGCTTCCCATGGCTTGCTCAACCCACCTTCATACAGAACCCAGGACCATCAGCCCAGGGATGGCAACACCTACCAGGGGCCGGGCCCTCCCCCACTGATCACTAAAGAAAATGCCCTACAGCTCTATCTCACAGAGGCATTTCCTCGGCTGAGGCTCCTTCCCCTGGCTTGCATCAGGTTGACACACAAGAACAAGCTGGCTGGCACAATAACTAACATTGGGATGACACGGTTCTACAACTACCTATGGTCTGAGACTTGACAGGAGCATTAAGACCAACAAGCACAGGGCTTCCTACTGGCCCCTGGGGTTTCACCCACCCGAACCTAAGCAGGAACCTGCCATTTCCTGAGCTCCCGGTTTGGCTCTTTACCTTGCAGCTGGACTCTTAGCGTCACTCTCCAAGTCTGACTCCAGCAGCTCCCTCCTGGCACTAGTCTGGTTCATTACCTACTAGGGCAGTTTTTCTCAGCCCTGTTTTGAAATCTTTTGAACTCTGATCTCTGATGCAGCCTCTTTAACTGTAAACCATATATGTATGTATGTATGTACATATATATATATACACACACACATAGACATATATAGCTACTTGTACCTTGTGATATGTGATGTGAGAGATAATGTTACTAATTAAGACTGGAAAAAAAGAGCCTACTTTTGCCTCTGCCAGATTATCAAGGTAGGTGGGATTATAGACAAACTGATGTCACCGAACCTCGTATACCTATTGTGATTCCACAGTCTAACTGTGGAAAGTCACAAACACATTCACCTGTTTCTGACATGTGTGCTCACCACCACATCTAGAATTTGTCATATGGAATGACACCACCTTCCTGAGTCCATAGACTGCTGTGGTTGAGAAAGGCCTACAAAGACAGCTCAGAAAAGTCAACACACCTATCTTGGGTCTTTTCCTAACATTGTCAGGGGAAGCGGTAGGGGTGATAGGATAACAGAAAGGGGGGGTGAGAAATTCTAGAATTTCCCATAACAAAGGATATTTGGTTATTTCCCAACCCCCAGGTTCATGTAGCAACTTGATGGTCACATGGCTTCTGTAATTACTTTCAAGGAATTTTTAATGTAATTTCTGTCCTGAAAAGCACATAATAAAGCAGTAACAATACATCAGGCATAAAAACACCTTGGACTCAAAGACTTGAAAAGTCATATTCTAAATCAGTCTCATCAAAGCCTTGACAGCCTGAGCAGCTAGAATAACCACAGTCCCTAAAGTAAGGCTAACCCCTGTGGTTACTTTATAGATACCATAAGGCTAACACCTGCGGTCTCCAAGCCAAAGACAAGTTCCAAGCCAATGTAACACATACTTACTATTTACTTACCCAACAAGATGTAGACACAGGTTCTACAGAAACAGTTTAGTATGGAATGTGGGAACTCTAGTCTGACAAAGATCCAGGGGCACCCACATAGAGCCATAAGCAGAGGAGACTCAAAGTTAGGATTTCTGAAGGTATTTCTGCTCCTGCAGGAAGAATGCTTGCAAGGAAAACCTTTGAGAAGGCTTCAGCTAAGATTTACGATTTTGTTTATTGTTGGTACCAAGGACTGAACTATAGCCCTGATGTTTGCTGGTGTAACGAACTAGCCACATCCTCAGCCCAAGATTTTTCCCATCTATAAAATGATCGATTCCAGGCGATCCTTAAGCAGAGGTCGACAAAGTAGCATTAAATAAATTCAATGTTGTTTGGAAGTTTCAAGCCCTCCGCGAGAAAAACCGACGTCTAATGGGCCATGGGAAGGCTCCAGGACCTGCAAAGTGAAGGTGTGTCCTGGGAAGTTACGTTCTGAAGCACTCTGAATCTAAATGCCCATGACCTGGTAGTTAGGCATACCTTTTGAATCCACAATTCTCCTACGACTCCAAAGCATGTATCGTGTGTCTTGAAAACGCCTACAGCTTTGCATTAAGGTCCAGGTAGAAGAATGCTTATTATAGCATTGTTCTGAGACGCCCTAAACTGGAACAAAGTGCACATCAACAGTAGAATGGCTATAAGGCTATACTCACACAATGGAATACTAGACAATCATGGGAATTTACAGATAATATAATATTATTAATTAAAAGCCAAAACCCACAATATGGTTCCACTCATAAAAGTTCAAACTCTAGACAAAGGAAAACTATACTACACTCACACTCATCTGGAAAAGTTAAAGGGGAAAGCAATAAAGTGCCTGTCCCAAAAACCAGGCTAGAAATGGTACAGGCGGAGGAACTCTTGAGAACCCGGCAACTCATTTTATTAACATCCCTCAAACATGTTCGGTCCTACGCATTGTTCTGCACACCACTTAAAAACGTGTATGAAAACCCTACAATGTCTGTCTAAAAAAGACGAAACCTGGACAATGGTGCCAATTTCCAACGCGACAAGACACAGGCCCTAGGAACAGTGGGGGTCCTTACGCGCTGGTGAACTGGCGTCCACCCCCTCTCACTTCCAGTGAAGTTTTGGGGGAGAGGGGGTTCCGAGGAGGAACGGCTGGCCCTCCTCAGCCCCGGCCAAACCCGCCCCCAGCCATCGAGACGCGCCCACGTCAGCCGCCCCACCTTCGCCCTGCGCCTCGGGGCCGGCTCGGGCGATGCGGGGCTGAGCGCAGGCTTCCGGGGGAAGGCGGCGCGCGGAGCCCACCCTCGCGCCGAGGAGCGCGGCCCCGCAGCCCCACCGCGCCGGGTCCTGCCGCGCGCGTCCCCCGCGGGGGCGTGGCCTAGCACAGGCTCGCTGCCCCGGGGAGGGGGGCGCGCGTACCTCTCGGCGGCCGAGGAACTACCGCGCCAGTCCCGGTGACAGAACAGAGTTCATTTCCGGGGACTGCCTAGCTACTTCTCTCGGGCAGCCACCAGCGGCTTCTGGAGCGAGAGCGCCGGCGTCGGCGCACGCGCAGTGTGGCGCTCCGGGGAGAGCGAGCCGACTGGAGAGAAACCAGCCGCCGCCGCCGCTGCAGGGCCGGGCCGAGGCGCGCGCGCGCACGCGCAGGGCGTGGGGGTGGGTAGGAGACGGGCGTCGGGAGCGCGCCTCCAGGGGCGGGGCGGAGCGAGCGCGAGCGTGCGCAGTGGCGCCTGGGCCTCGGCTCGCGCCAGGCTGGGCTGCGCTCGCGCAGGAGGGCGTGGGCGGGCGGCGCCGGGGGCGCGCAGGAGGCGCGCGGCCCCGAGCACGGGAAGGAGGGGCTGGTGACAGTGCGGAGCCACTGCCAGCGTCCGCGCCTCGGGAGCGGCCGGACGGAAGAGAAGGTTCGCCAGACGCCGGTCGGCTGCCCGAGCGAGCCTTCGGACTCAACCCCGAGCGGAGCGGCCACGGCTTCTGGTTGGTCGCGGAGGCGCTGCGGCCACCTCAGGAAGATGTTTAACGTGGAGTCTGTGGAGCGGGTGGAGCTGTGCGAGAGCCTGCTCACTTGGGTACGTGGTGGGGCAGCGGGCCGCTGGGGAAAACTCCTCAACCTTTCCCCGGACACCGGTGCTCGTCCCGAGGGGCGAGCGCCCGGGGCGGACCTGCCGTCACATCCGGGCCTTGGGACGGGCGGAGCTGATGAGCCGGTGCGGGCCGCGTCTCCACCCGTGGCCGGGTCAGGGTCAGCAGGGAGCGGCCGGGCTCAGACAGGCTGGGCCCAGGGTCCAGGAGGAACTTGTCCGGCCTGAGATGTTGGCTGCGGTCCGAGAGGAAACCTGCCCGGTGGGGGCTAATGATGGGGTGCCGGCGACACTGTAATTAGGACTGTTTGCAGTGATGAGGCGCTCGCGCTTCGCTCCCGAGCTCCCAGCGAGCCAAAGCGTCGGTTCTGCCTGGGCGCCCGGTAGAGGCACTCGGGACCCCTGGTTACGATGCTGCTCGCCTTTGTTGTAGCGCTCAGCCAGGATGGAGCGCAGCCCCTTGAGGGATGAAGCCCTGCCCATTGGAAAATAGTGCTTTGCAGGGTGGGTAGACAAACCATGAAGAATCACCCAGAGGCAGACCATTTGAAATGCGAGATGCGTTTTTGACTGTTGTAAACGATCTGATGGTACTTATAAAAGGAATCAAGGATTAAAACAAAAGTTAAGCTGGGAGGATGTAGGGAATAATTAGTAATGGAACTGAAACATTTTTTTAAAGCAATGGGAGATTCTAATTTGGAATCGATAAGGGTGAAGGTTACTGAATTTTAGAGTACGTTGGATTTTAATGTCAAGGGTCACGGCTTAAGGAGCCCATTTCCAATAGCTAGCTGGGCAGTTAACCTGTGTTTCTTTCTCCATACGCTGGTTGGAAGTGTGGTACAGAGCCATGGGATAAATCAAGTATCTCACTGAGAACATTCGTTTTACTTATGGCTAAAAATTGTTAACCATCCTTTTAGAAGAACATGTATTACTATGGCCAGTGTTAATTTGTTTTGCTTACTGGGGGGAGAAAGTGGTGATTGGACCTCCTGCATGCTAAGTGAAAGCTCTACCACTAAGCTCTTCACTTCTATTAATCACTTCCAAGGTAAAATGCAAATACCAAAAGAAATTCTTTTGAACAGTGTCTTGGGTTAGAGGTTCCAATCTGTGGAAGCTAGTCATCACTGAGAAGTTTGAGAACTGTTAAGTTGGTTGTAATAAATGTAATAAAGGTAGACTCTAAAGATGTGTGTGCGTTTGAGGTAGGATCTTACTATGTAGCCCAAATTGCCTTAAACTATATAATCTTGAATTTGTAGCAATCTTCCTGCCTCAGCTTCCTGAGTACTAGGACTATAAACGTGCATCACTACACCCAGCTTGAATTTTTTTATAATCTTGGCATGTCATGAATCTGATTTTGTCTTTTGAAATGTAGAATTTATATAATGCAGAGCTCTATGGTTTTTGTTTTGTGTTAGATCATTCTTGTAATTTCAGGTTGTTTGAAATAATACATAGTTAAAATATGCTATAAGTTCTAATTCAAGCAGAAAAGATAAACACTGCTGTGCTTCAAGTAGAGGATGGTGATAGGTTGTATAATGTAGCTAAGCCTCAGCCACCTTTCAAATTATTATTTAAACCAGGAAGATTCTAAAAGATGGAAAAGTTTTGGTTTTGGTTTGGTTGGGTTTGAGACAGGATTTCTGTTTGTAGCCCTGGCTGTCCAAGAACTTGCGTTGTAGACCAGACTGACCTAGAACTCACAAAGATCTGCCTGCCTCTGCCTCCCGAATGCTGGAAATAAAGGTGTGCATCACCACACCACCCAGCACAAAAAAGATGGAAAATGTTTTAAACCAATCTGTATATAGCAAGCAGAGTGTGCTTAAAAATTACCCTTTATCTCCTCTTCCTACCCCCAGAGCAAAATGTATTCCTACCTGATAGGGAAAAAATGTGTGTCTGTCAGTCTCTTTTAAAAAGTTATTATCATGTGTATGATTGTGATGTGTACATATAGGCTTGTTGCTACCACATGCATGTGGAGGTCAGGAATCAACTTTTTGGAGTTGGTGCCCTTCCGTGTTTTTCCAAGCAACAAACTGGGGTTGCAAGTTACCAGACTGCTGTGGTAAGCACACTCACCTACTCACTGAGTCATTTCAGTAGCTTGTTTGGTTTTTTCTTTAACATTTTTTTAATTTTTACTATGTATTTATGTGTGTGGGTGTGTGCACACACATATCACAGCCCTTTTGTGGAAGGCATTGAATAATTTAGAGACATCATTTCTCCTATTATTTGGACTCCTCTTTTGTTTGAGAATTTTATATATGTATTACTGTGCTTTGATCAGGTTTATTCCTTCCCTCCAACTCTGTATTGCACCACTACTTGTCCTTCCCAAGTTCGTATACTCCTTCTTTTTTTAACGTATTGAATCCATTTAGAGGGGCCAGTATACACGTGGGTATAGATGACCATCTGCTGGAGCATGGATAACCTAGGGACTGCACCATGAAGAAAACAGGCCACCGACTCTTTCTCTAGAAGCTGTCAACTTCCAGTAGCTTCTCAGCAACTTGACCTCGTCTCCATTCATTTTAGAATTTTGGCTAACTTGATCCTATGCAGGTCTTTGGCATATTGCCGCAGCCAGCCATTGGGGATTCTTATGTGCGCTGTCCCTTTCATATCCAGAAAACACCTTTTTGCAGCAGTTCTCCAAAATTTCTGGCCTTAGAGTCTTTCTGCTCCCTCTTCTGCAGTGATCTCTTGAGTCTTAGGAGGGGCTGTGATATGGACGTCCCATTTAGGGTTGAGCACTCCACAGTTTCTTATTCTCTGTACTCTGATCAGTTGTGAGTCTCCATATTAATTGTCCTCTACTACAGAAATAAGCTCTCTGATGAGGGTTGGGAACTGCACTATCCAATGATTATAAAGATAAGTATTTGAGGGCAGTTTGATACTATGTCAATTTAGCAAAATAATAGCAAGCTCTTTCCTAGAGTCCATGACCTACCCAGCCATGTGTTCTTGGCCCAGTTAACAACATAAAGCATGGATCCTGGTTTGTGAAGTGGGCCTTATATCCAACCAGAAAGCAATTGCTTACTCCCATAACACTGATGCCACTGTTGCACCAATGGGCATATGTTTGCCAGTCCATTTGTCATTGGAGCTTGCAGAGTTCACAGCTGAGTAAGACTGCTAATCATTTTTCTCTTCCAGCGGCCTGCATAGCACCATCCAGCACTATGAAAGCTAGCCAGTAGGGATTAAGCTTCAAGGTCAATACCAGCTTATTTCTCCATGTCCTATGGCTCAAGAATGTAATGTCTTTAGCAATAGGATCTTCCTTCCAAGTTTTGGTGGGTTACCAAGAGCAGTGACCACAACCTGAATTGTTTTACAGATTCATAGGATCCCCATGATTTAAAGAGGGGCAACCAAATCTGGCACTGCCCAAGCCCAGCTTCTTGAACTCTGCATGAATCATGATAAAAAGATTGCACTTTCCTCAGTCTTAGTTTGTTCTATGATGCTGAGAATTAAACCTGGGGCCTTGTTTTTGTACTGTACAACTGAGTTATATAATTCCAGCCAGTTACTCAAGAAATTGGAACACAAGAAACAATCAAGAGGGGCTGGAGATATACTCCACAGTTAAGAGCATTTGTTGCCCTTGCAGAGGACCTGATTTGGTTCCTAGAATCCACACGGTGGTTCACAACCATCCATGACCTCAGACCTTCACAGGCACCAGGTGTGCATGTGGCACACATACATGCATTCAGGCAAAACAATCATACACTTACAGTCTTAAAACATACTTAAAAAGAATCTAGAATGCTGTCAGATATGAAACTAATGAGAAAAGAATTATAGTTGTGGTTCACTTCTATGAAATTCCTCAATCTTTATGTGTCCTTATTTTCATATTACTTATTTGGGAGCCTATGAAATGCAACTAATATTTAGAATCTCCCAGTCTGTTTTCTCTCCTTTGCTTAACTCTAACCTACGAACAAATTTGATCCTCTGATTCTAGAATAAAGACATTTCTGATGTACAAAGGTTTAAAGCCCTTGGGGGGGGAGGGGGAGTCTTAAGTAGCATGATGGTTGCTGGCTCCAGCTGTGGCTCTCATACATTATCATTGATCAGCATCACCTGTAACCTTTATCGTACCAGTTTGCTAGGCTGTGGGACTAGAATTTCTAGGCCTGAGGATCTGAGATTTGTATTTCTGTCATATTCCCAGGGGATGTGTAGTTAGTAACCACAAGATAACATTTGAGAACAGTTGCTCTAGAGCAAGTTTTAAGCTCACTGCTATTTGATATTTTGTACTGAGTAATTGTTAGGGGCACTGTTGTGTGCATTTTAGGATATTTAATAGAAACATTACTGTTTACAAAATAATAGTACTTACCTTGCTATTCCAGACTCTCCTAGGGAGAAAAAAAAATCACTCCTGGTGGCGAACCACTGCCCTAACGTTGCTGATTCCATATGATCTCATACTTTATTCTTCTGGTGATTTTGCAGGGGTGGGTGTGGGGCTTGGAATTTGTTCTAAGCATCTTGAAA